ACCTAATCGCGCCCCCCCGCGGCTGGGCTCGCCGGCGAGGCGGCAAACCACAGCGCTCTCCCCCGCCGCCAGCTCCTGCACCGGGGCGCTTTGTGCCACCGTGCCGCGGGGGATGGATCCTGCACCCCCCGGGTGCTTTCAGCCTCCCCTCGCTCAGGATGCAGCCACCAGGACCAGCACGGCCTGGGGTGATGGGGACACCCGGCTCCAGGCATCACGAGGGGTGATGGGTTTTCTTCTCTCTGCAAACTCCTCTGCATCCATTGAGGAGCTGGTGGCTCCCGCGGTGCAGGACTCTTTGGTCAGCTGGTCCCTGTTTTCATAGAATCATAGAATCATAGAATCATAGACTGGTTAGGGTTGGAAGGGACCTCAAAGATCATCTAGTTCCAACCCCCCTGCCATGGGCAGGGACACCCTCCACTACACCGGGTTGCTCAAAGCCTCATCCAACCTGGCCTTGCTTGGTTTTGGGCTGGCCACAGGGATTTTGGCCACCCAGGGTGTTGGCCGGTGCTCGCCAACGCTGGCTCTGCAGAAGTGCTCTCAGCTGGAGCCCGAATGCTGGAGCTGCTTCCCCACGATGAAGTCCCAGCTGGCTCATCTGCAAACACACAGCCTCTCATTTCAGAGGAGCTGTTAAAACATCTTGTAAAAAACCATGCAGAAGCAGCACAGGAAGGTTAAGATGTCCAGAAATCCCGTGGAAGAAACTGGAGTGGAGTTTTTCCGGCTCAGCGTGGGGAGCCGGGGGATGCAGTGAGTGATGCTGTGGTTTTGCAGGAAGGTGATACTGCACGTTCAGAATCGGCTGACGATGCGGTACATCTCCTGGGGGCTTTGGGCTGACTTTTATAAAGTGAGAGCAAATTCTTAAATTCATTTGATTATTTCAAACATATGGGAAATCTATAAAATATAAGTTTCTTTGCTACCAAACAGCGTCATCGATGTGACTTTTCCGTTAAAACAAACTATGAAAAAGCCAGCTTTTCACTTAGATTTTTTTATTCAAAATCCGGGGAAATCATAAAAACTCTTGAAATCTAGTCATCAACAACCCAGCAGGGGTTATTCCTAGGAAAGATGCTTGTCCCTGTGTGCAAGAGGGCAGAGGAAGATCAGCCTTGTAAGGTGAGCTCTCTTTGGTTGGTGTCATCTGCAGTGTTGCAGACAGGTTTACTCTTCTCCTTTAATGCGTTAAACAACTCGCCACGGTGCGGGTCGCCTGCACGGCCCCGACCGCCCCGTGCCAGGACTGATCCTGGGCGCTTGGTGCAGCTGTCATGAAATTCAGCAAAACCTTTTTTCACTAAGTTGGGCAGCAGGCATTGGCAGGGGCAGTAGAATTAAGCCGCTTCATTTTAGTTATGAATTGTCTTCTGCCAGAAAATTAAAACTACTCATTTTCAGCACATCGTTACTAAATAGATCAGTCTTAAAAAAATGAGTCAAAATATTTGCTAAGACATTGTGCTTTCCAGAAGATGTTTGATTACAATCTCTCACCATTTTCCAATGAAAAAAAAAACCGCATTTTCTTTAAAAAACCCTCATTTATGGTTCTGATCAACCAGCACCATGCCCGCAGGCTGGGATAACCCGGCGGCTGCCCGCGCTGGGCACGCACAGCGTGGGATGGGAGCGAAGGCACAGGGTGCTGTGCCCAACCGGGCACCTCGGAGCCGAACAACATTGCGGCTCCGAACATGCGGGTGATGCTCACGTGAAAGACCTGCTGGGTTTGTGTGTGCTCAGCAAAAGGAGTTTTCTTGCTGGCCTCGAGCTGCTGTCGCAGTCAGACACCCAAGCGTGAGCGGTGAGGTCTCCCAGTTTTGCCTTGCCAACAATTAGTCTGTCTTAATAATTAATGCGACTGCGTTTTCTTTTTGCTCATCCAATTACTTCGAGTTATTAAAGTCACTTCTTGGCTTCAACGTGGGAGCTTCTTCCCTCGTAGTCTTTCTGGTTTTTAATTATTTTCAGCCGGGTTGATGGGGCTGATCAATCCCGGTAGGGTGATGGTCTGCGGGGTCGGTGCGTGCCCCAGCACCGAGTGGCACCGGCTGCTGGCACGTGGCACACGGGGATCCGAGTGGGCACTGCTGACTGGAGAGGTGGGCACTCAGAAGAGTTGTGATTTAGCAAACTGGAGAGGGAAAAAGGCCCTCCAGGCTTGCAAAACCCTTTCTGCTGCTCCATCCTTTCTGGAAATACCATTCTGGTGTTGCTGTAAATGCAGCTCTTCATTTCTGTAGCGAGGTGGTGGCTGCACAGCTCATTCCCCGACCTGCCCCCGAAGGGCCATGCTGGGAGAGGTGAGACAATACTGTCCTCAGGGCCCTTTCGTGTCCCCCCGCGGCTGACAAAGGACAAGAGGTCGCTTGGGGTGACTTGGGGTTGGAGCCATGATGCTGAGCTCCAGCTGTGTTGTTTTGGGTGGTGGGTAACCAGCAGCTCCGTCACCACTGCTCCGAGCAGTATTGAAACATGGCTTTGGGGAGGAGATACAGTTAAGACGCTTCACCAAACCGCAGCACATCCCCGTGGTGTCCCAAGCAGCAGCACCCCATGTCCTCCCAGGGGACCTACTGAGAGGACACCAAACCAACTGCCCTCATGTTAAATCAGTCCGCTCAGCAGAAAACGTTTGCATCAGGTTAATTTTATGGCATAAGACATCGTCAGCTGATGAGTTCTGGCTTTGAAAAGCCTCTTCAAGGTTCATGCACGGCAGCTGATTTCAGAAACTAACTCTAGACTTTGCACAAAAGAGGAATTGATACAATTTCTCTGGCGTATAGTTTTCTATAAACGAGATGCGTTTTCACAGCGAAGATGCGTGCGGCTGCTGCAGCCCATCTGGTGAGGACCAGGAGCTGTGGACATGGCCATGGACCGTGACTGTTAGCAGCTGCAGTGTTCAAACTGGGGATAAACACTGAAGGCTTCTTCTCTGTTTCTCCAGATCTTTGTGCAATGTTTCCTTCTTCCCTTGGTTGGTTCAATCTGTGAGACAGGTTCCTGTAAAAAACTCCCCAACAGAGGAAGCAGGAGGGGGATGGATAGCCTCTTGCAGAAATGTTTGTCTTACCTCCCTCCTGAGCGTCCTTCCCCACCAGTTTATGACTTTAAAGAGTAGGAGAAAAGTTTTTCAGCAAGGCAAGTGCAAACGTAGAAGAGACACGGGGAAGGCCAACTCTTCTTACTGGTGCAACCTCTTGTTTCCCATCTGAACTGATGGAAAATCTGCGTAACTGAGTTGCAACCGATTGTGCCACCAAGCTGCCATGTTCTGCTTTGCTGGGGAAGAAGGACAGCCCGTGCCTTTGCTGTAACCACACGTGCTCTGTGCTTTTCACTGTTGAGGCACCTTGTGGATCAGCATCAGGGCTGTTCAGCTGCCTTTGTAGTGGTCTGTGTCTCCTGTCGTTGCTCCGAATGCTGTTGACAGCCGTCAGGCAGCGAGGCTGGCTGCTGGATGGTGCTGTGCTCTGGATCAGGCACGGGGCGAACGGGAAGGAAAGATCTGCCCCACTTTGAATGGCAGAAATGCTTAAGTTGAGGTTTTCCAGACAGCTCAGCATCGAGCTCGTTCTGCTCCAGTGTTGTGTTAAAATGTATGCTTAGAACTGCATATCCCTAATTTTGGCTTTCTGGCTCTTAAATAAGCTAAACTATAGCTAATTTTAGAAATATCACTGAAAAGCTATTCTTATCTCATTTCATGGGCAAGAATAGTAAAAGCTCAGAGCTCCAAACATGTCTTTAACTAAGCAGGAGCCAGCCCAGCGCCACTGTCGGTGGGTAAAACCACATAGCCCGTGGCCCTGCTGCAGGACAGAGCGCCTGTGCCACACCAGTTTGTGCTGGGGAGGAGGGCTACATTCCTAGTATCCCACTGTACGCAGTAAATCTATGCCTGGTAAACATCAGGAATTCAGGGGTTTCATTCATTCTTAAATGCAAATCTGCGTGCCGCTTGGTTTTTATTTGCATGAGCAAACCTTTAGGAAAGACAGATGTAAAGCAGCGTCTCCATCAGCCTGTTTTCCTTTCCACTTCATGGGTTTCCTCCTCGGAGCAGCGATGCAAAACGCAGGACTTGCCCAGGGCTCTTGAGCTGCTGTGCAGACATCTCGGAGCAGCAGGGAGAGGTCCATGGCAGGTCCTCCAGCGCCACGGGCTCCAGCTGCACCACCTCCACCAAAGCCAGCTGGCGTTCCGTGCTCGCTCTGCCCGAGCAAAATCATTACCAAAGTGAAAGGCACCAGTGAATCAAGTCCAGAGATTGTAAATGACTTGTCAAAAGTCACACAGCAAATCATCTGTAGATGTCCTGGTGGGACACGAGAGGTCTGGCTGGCAATACCCAGCTCCAAGCCCCAGGAGAGCTGGGAACTTACCTGATCCGTTCTCATTTTCTCCCCGTTTTGGGGTGCCCTCAGTCCTACTTCTCTTTATGGATTTATCTGGGGCAAATCCTAACATTCCTCCACCAAGGCGAAGTCAGTTTGGGTTTAAAGGCAACCATGGGCGAAACCGGGCATGTAGGGAGCAGCTTGAAATGCTGGAGGCGAGGAGGCTGGCTGGAGACGGCGGCGTATGTGTGCGTGTGCGTGTGTGTGTGTGTTTTCCTTACAGCTCTTTTGAACAGGTTCCCCTCTCTCTGCTCCAACACGCAGAAGTACTCCCCGTTGCCTTCACAAAAAAAGCACCTTTTGCAAAGATGTTGGGCTCCCGTGGCCTCGCCGCGCGTAACCGGGAGCAGCTGCAAGAGGACATTGGATTTTTCTTTTTTAAATTTCCCGGGTTTTTTGCATCCCTAGTGCTACTCAGCTCCCTCCAGACCTTCTCCCAGTGCCAGAGCTCGGACCGAGGGGGATTTCAGCCCAAGGACTCGCTGGTGACCACGTCACTGTTTCGAAGGCATTGCCCTCAGCGTGGCTCTCCTTGCTTGAGCGCCCAGGTTAGGAAAGCCCGAGCGTGGCTTTCAGAGTGAACGTGCAGGATGTGAAAGTCCAGATTTAGACTCTGTGGTAGCACGAGGCAGAAAACAAGAGCGGTGCGTTGGGTAACATGCTTGTAGCATTCATCCTGGGATAAGAGATACTGGAAATGAATGAAAAAAAGCTCTTCTTTTGAAAACTTCATGTTGATTTGAGCTGTTTTCCACCTACCCATGCAGTTGTCTTCAGCTGTTGTCGCTGCTTGGTTTACAGATTTTTCTTGCAGGATGCTGTAGTGTTTATTTAAGTAGGTGAGGGCATTTTCTGCCTTGCCCTTGAGAGACGCTGGGGACTTTTTCCGATTCCCAGCCTCACTTGCAACAACAGGACCTACAAGGGGCACCGGCCCTCCTTGCCTCCTCAACAACTTCTGAGCCCTCTCCCTCCTTTTGTCTTGCAGTCCAACAAAGTTCCCGTCGTGCAGCCGTCCCACGGAGTCCACCCGCTCACCCCGCTCATCCCTTACAGCAACGACCATTTCAGCCACGGCTCCCACTCGCCCCACTTGCCCGCTGACATCAACCAGAAACAAGGTAATGGCACCACTGGGGACCTGCGCGGTGGGAGGGGGACGGTGCCGGAGATCCCTGAGATCGGGGCTGTCACTTTTGAGGTCCCAAATCAATGGGAAAAGTCAAGAGTTTTGGTCAACTGGGGCATTGTGTAAGAGTAGAAGTTTATTTAGCATATTGGCAATGCTTCGTAATCCTGGTGGAGAGGAGTTTGATATCAAAAGTGCCAACCCTGCTGATCAAGCCTGCTTAATTCTCTGTGCAAGCCGTCTTGTAGCTTGAGACGAGACCAGAGCCCGCGAGACGATGCGTAAGAGTCAACCAGAAAATGGAAAGTAATCTTTCCTTTGACTCATACCCAAACTGTTGTCAGGTTGTCATTTTGAGAAAATAAATGCTTGAAACAGGAAATATTTTGACTAAACAGGATTGGTGTCTGATAGCTAACTGGATTGTTGCATGCGTGTGTCCGTAGTCACACGTTATGTGGTTGTCACACGGTTTGGCTTTTTGGGTTCCTGTGTGAGTGCAGGACATGTGAATTAGCTCATGAGGCTACAGAGGAAAGTACAGTAGGGAGAGGTTCAACCCTGAACTGTAAAATGTAGGTACGTGCACAGGAATTCACCCTGGCCCATCATTCTTCGTGGGTTACAGGCAAGCTGAGGGTAACATCCAACTTTTCTCAACCCTACGTTAGTGCAACAGAATCTTTCTACATCTGTTCACATCACCCAGGCTTTCGCACAAACCTGGCCTTGATTTCATGTGAAAGTGAGCAAATTGACACTTTTGTGTCAAAGTATATTCAGGAAGGGGTTTGGGGTTCATCGGAGCCCAGAAATAAGTGCAGAGACAGAGGCACAAAAGCAACTTGTGATTTGGGCAAAGGCCTCCACCCAAAAGTGATCCAAACTGCCCCAGAGACATCAGCTTCGCCGAGTTAACAGCATTTCTAAAACGATGGGGTATTGAGGGTGCTCCTGGCTGGAGGGCATGCTGAATTATCCCTGGTCTGAGCCCGGAGGCCACGTTCTGGACTCGTCAGGGATGCTGATGGGGAGGATTTAGGTCTGGTGTAAGAGACACCCAGGCACATGCTGGTTTTTCTTCCAGCCAGCACATTGCTTGTCAGCCGCCACAGCATAATAAACTCAGCAGAAAAATATGAAGAGCTAACAAAATAAACCTATTAAAAGCTCAGCTAATGGCAGATTTCAGAGTCTCAAGAGGAAGCGTGCAGATTTCCGAGTCTCCCGGGAAGGTGACCCGACACACCTTCCTTCCCGCTGCTGGTGCGGGTGTCTCGCAGCGCCCCGCACCGAGAGCTGCCTCCGGGGACTCGCTGTTAGCCTGGGAAGCCTTAAGCAATATGGGAGCAGCTCACCCAAGGGATGAGCTGGTTCTGTCCCTCCGTGGAGGCTATGGTTGGCACTGGTGTAGTCCCCAAGCGTTCATCTCTGTGGTGGGTCGCTAATGCTGGGAAGCTGTCTGCTGTCCTCCGGCTGCGCACCGGTCTTTCCATCTCCCCTTTCCCGTGTAGCCTGTATATTTATGTCAGACACAAGGGGAGTCTTGTCCATCCCAGGGACCCCACCCAGGTCCTATTTGTGGAGAGGTTCAGACCATCATCCTCAGCTGGGACCTGTCCCTGTGGTGCAGCTGTGATCAGCTTTGCATGCCCCAGCCCTGCGCTGCTGGGGCGAGGGTTTTCTTCCTCGTTTGTTCTGGATGTGTCTCGTCTCTATTTTCGTGGCTGAAATATCTCCCATTATCACCTGGTGTAAGGGCCTGAGAGTCACCGTCGTACTCATTCTCACAGCATCCCTTTAAAGTATTTCATAGTAGCCTGAGGACACGCAGACAAGGAAATACAAGCAGGATCTTCTGAGTCAGTGGCTGGTGCCCCGACCACTGGGCCAGCAAGAATAACTTGTGCTCTGGCTTATGCAATTTGTGTTGTTGGAGGCCCAAATCTCAGGAAATCCTGGCTGCTGTCTAAAGCAGATGCTGGTTTTGTTTGAGGTTCAGGGGCTGCTGCGTTCTGTTTGAGCACAGCTGCAGGTAAATCATGGAATCAGACAACAGTTTGGGTTGGAAGGGACCTTCAAGACCATCTCGTTCCAACCCCCCTGCCATGGGCAGGGACACCTTCCACTACACCAGGTTGCTCAAAGCCTCATCCAACCTGGCCTTGAACACTTCCAGGGATGGGGCAGCCACAGCTTCTCTGGGCAACCTGGTCCAGTGCCTCACCACCCTTGTTGTAAAAAATTTCTTCTGATCTCGTACTGAGTTATATACTCCTTTCAGTTCAGTTATGTATTTATTTTAGCTAACTCCTAATAAGATACTTGGAATCTCTTGGTGTCATTCCTAATTAATAATTTATCATTAGTACACCTGGGAGAATAAGCCAGACTTTCGAGTTTGCAAACCACTTGCAACTAATCACCGATTTATTCAATGTATTTATTGCCCAGAACAGCTGCTGGACAATCTCTGTACAGTGTTTTGTGTGAGCCTCGTTAGCGGTCAGCCTCGTTAGCAGTCAGCATCACACGGTGCTGCGGCAGAGCTCAGCCCCAGCTCCCTTCCACGTTTCCAGTCCGGGGGT